TAATCTTCATGCAGCAGAGCAGCTGAAGTGCAGGGTACTCAGCTGTGGGATAGATGATGAACCACTTGAGAGTTTGTGGGTTAGGGTTAGAGGCCAGACCAGTGTGGACAATGTTGTGGTGGGTGTCTCCACAAACCACTTAACCAGCAACAAAGGAGTTGATAACACCTTCTTCAGTCAGCTGGAATAAGGCTCATGTTGACAGGACCTGGCCCCTGTGGAGGGTTTCAACCACCCTGGTGTATCCTGGAGGGATAGAGTAGTTTGCTTATGCCCAGAGTGTGAACAGTCCAGGAGGTATCATGAGTGTTTTGATTGCTGGATCTTGTACTTGCAAACAAGGAAGAACTGTTTGGGGATCTGATGGCTGAGGGCAGTCTTGGCTACACTGGCCATGAGATGGTAAAGGACATTATCCAGAGAGGAGGATGGCAACAAGCAGAAAGCAGGATTGCAACCCTAGACTTGAAGAGGGAATACTTCGTCTTTTTCAGGGATCTGCTTAGAAGAATCCCACCAGAGACAGTTGTGCAGAAGAGGGGATCCAGCTGAGCTGGTTGGTTTTCAGGGATCATCTCCTCCAAGCTCAATAATGGTCCATCTTGACAAGCAGAAAGACAAGCAGAGGTGGTGGGATGCCTTAACGGATGAACAAGCGCACCCTAACAAAAATCAAACATAAAGAGTACTGAGGGTGAAAGCAGAAAGAACTGGCCTGAAATGGGAAGGTAGAATGTCTGTGTGTCTAGGGATGGGGTTAGGAAAGCCAAAGCCCACCTGGAGTTGAATGTGGTGAGGGATGTTGTGGGTTAACCCCAGTGTGCAGCTCAGCCCCACACAGCTGCTCACTCTCACTCACAGTGAGATGGAGATGCAAATTAAAGGGATAAAAGCAAAAATCCCTTGGGTTAGGATAAAGGCAGTTTCATAAGTAAAGCAAATGCTGCTCATGCTAAAAAAAAAGCAAACCAAGGAATTAATTCTGTACTCTCCATCAGCAGACAGATGTTTAGCCATTTTCAGGAAAGCGGGGCTTCATCAAACATAATGGTGACTTGGTAAGACAAATGCCATAACTCCAAATGCCCCCTCTTTCTCCTTCTTTTCCCCAGCTTTTATTGCTGAGCATGATGTCATATGGTATGGAATATCCCTTTGATCAGTTGAGGTCTGCAGTCCCAGTTGCCTCCCCTCCCAACTATTTGCACGCCCCCAACCTGCTCCTTGTTGGGGCAGCATGAGAGAACAGAGAAGACCTTGAGGCTGTGTAAGCACTGCTCAGCAATAGCTAAAACATTGGGGTGTTATCAACACCGTTTTGGTCACAAATCTAAAACAGTACCATGCAAGGTGATGTGAAGAAAATTAACTCTGTCCCAGATGAAACTGTTAAAAATGTGAAAGACAAAAAGAAAGGTTTGTATGGGTGCATAAACAGCAAGACGAGGTCTAGGAAAAGTGTGGGTCTGCTGATGAATGGGAATGAGAACCTTGTCATGGAGGTACTCTGCCATACTCACCTCTGTCTTTAGTAGTAATGCTGGTCTTCAGCAATCCCACACCCCTGAAACCAGTGGGAAAGTCCAGGAAAAGGTAGATGTACCCTCAGTTGAGGAGAATCAGGTTAGAGAATATTTACATATTGGACATGTGCAAGGCCATAGCTTGGGTGGGGTATGTGCTGAGTGAGCTAACTGATACTGGAAGGCTGCTCTTGATAGTCTTTGAAAGAGCATTGGGTTCAGGAAAGGTTCCTTAAGACTGGAAGAAAGCAAATGTAAATCCTGTCTTCAGGAAGAGCAAGAAGCATCCTTTTCATTGAGAACTATACTGGTCAGCCTCATCTTGACCCATTGGAAGATGGTGGAGCAAATAATCCAGAAAGGCATTTCCAAACATATGAAGGACAAGAAATGGTGGTTGAGAGTGGCCAGCATGGATTTATTAAGGGGGAGTCATGTCTGAACAATCTGTTAGCCTTCTATGATGAGATTACTCATTTGGTGGAGGAGGGAAGGGCAGTGGACATGGTTTATGTTGACTTCAGCAAAGCTTGGATATTGTCTTCTGTATCATCCTCTTTGATAAACTTCTGAAGTGCTGACTGGGTAAATGGACAGTGATGTGGACTGAGAACTGGCTGAACTGTTGGGTTCAGAGGATTATGATCAGCAGCATGAGCTCCATCTGAAGACCAGTCAGGGCGGTGTGCCACTGGGTTGGAGAATAGGGCCAGTGCTGCTCAGATCTTCACTGATCACGTGGATGAGAGAGCAGGGTGTGCTTTCATCATGTTTGCAGGTTATGCAAAGCTGAAAGAGAGTTTGACACACCAGAGGGTTGTGCTGCCATTCAGAGGCCTCAACAGGCTGGAGAAATGAATTGACAGGATCCTCGTGAGCAATGGAAACTGCCAAGTGCTGCACCTGGAGAGTAATAGCCCCAGGCACCAGTAGGGGCTGAGCCTGAGTGGCTAGAAAGCAGCTTTGGTGAGAGAGACCTTGGGTGTAGAATCATAAAATGTCTTGGGTTGGAAGGGACCTCTAAAGGTCATCTAGTCTGACCCCCCCTACAGTAGGCAGGCACATCTCCAACTAGAACAGATTGCTCAGAGCCCCATCAAGCCTGACCTTGAATGTCTGCAGGGCTGGGGCCTCCACCACCTTTCTAGGCAACTCGTTCCAGTGATCCCCCACCCTCATATTAAAGAACTGTTTCCCTATGACCAACCTAAATCTACCCTTTTCTAGCTTAAAACCATTACTCCTTGTCCTGTCATTACATGGCCTGGTAAACAGTTCTTCCCCAGCCTTCTTAAAGGCCTGTTTCAGGTACTGGAAGGTCACTATAAGGTCCCCCCAAAGTCTCCTCTTCTTAAGGCTGAACAACCCCAACTCCCTCAGCCTGTCTTCATCTGAGAGGTGCTCCAGCCCTCTGATCATTTTCGTGGCCCTCCTCTGGACACACTCCAACAGGTCCACATCCTTCTTCTGTTTGGAGCGCTGGAGCTGGATGCTGTACTCCAGTATTCTGGTGGATATCAAGTAGCCTACAAGGCAGCAATGTATGCTTGTAGCAAATGCAGCTCCTAGCTTCCTGGGCTGCATTAGGCAGAGGGCTGTCAGCAGGTGGAGGTGATCCTTCTCCTCCTTTTTGGGGAGGCACATCTGGAGTGTTGGGTTTGATTGTGGGTTCTCCTGTACAAGAGAGAGGTGGAGATACTGGAGGAAGTCCAGCAAAGAGCCACGAAGATGGCTGGGGTATTGGAGCATCTGATGTCTGAGGAGAGTCTGAGAGAGATGGGTCTGTTTAGCCTGGAGAAGAGAAGGCTCAGGGCAATCTTATCAGTGTGTCTGTATACACGATGTGGTGGGGTAGAGAAAGTAGAGCCAGACTCGTCTTGGCAGTAGACAATGAAGGTCCTGCTTTGAACAGGAAACTGAACTAACAACCTAGGGTCCCTCCAGGCCTGAATGACGCTGGTTTTTCAATGAAGTTTCAGTGGTAAACTTTTTAAGTTCTGTTTGCATGTGAGCTGTTAATGTGCAGTACCACCCTTTCTCTTTTGATGTGCATTATGTAGCTTAGCAGGCCTCAAGTGAACTGGTTTTGTGGGCTTCACAGAAGAAGCGATAGATTAATATTATCATCTGTAGCCTTGTGTCTGGGACGTATCTGAAACTCAACATGCTATTGTAGCTATGACTTGCAGGCTCTGTGGGAGGCAGGGAGATGTTTTAGCATTGTGCCTGTGTGACATTTTGGGGGTGGAAAGGAATAACTCTGCTTTCCTGTCAGCTTAATTAATTTTAGACCTCAGGGCTTCTGTTATGTAGGCAGAACCTTTCTACTGTCTGCGATGCAATGGTTAGTTTGCTATGTGAGCTGCACTGTTTGTTTGCTGGCCACATTTTGCAGGGTTTACATAGCACAGCCATTTGTGCAGAAGCAGGTGCCTGTTACTCGTTCTCATTTTGCTGTTTGATGGTTGAAGTGCTAAATGGCTGGTGGAACATCCTGGGGTGTGGTATGACACTGAAGAAAGCAGGAGTAAGGCTTTATGTATATGACTATCCTCGACCTTGCCAATCTGGCTCGTCTTAGTAGATATTTGACAAACTACCAAATATAACTGTGGCTTACATATTTGAATATCAGAGGTCAGCTATTTTTGATTGTCCAAAGGATTTTTTCTGTCTTTATGACTTCCTTATTTCTCAACGGGGAATTTGATGTGGGCATGGTTTCATGAGATGAGGAAATTCTTCCAGGAGAAGACAGACACACGATACAATGGTAGCAAGCACACTTCTGTTTGATAGCAGACATCCAGATCAGTAGGAGTATTTAATCTTCAGATCCTCTGATGCACAATCACAGCCAAAAGTAATTTTTTCTCCCTTTGATGCAACCATATGAGAGCATGTTCATGCTGTAAAGCCCTGCATTTCTGTATAAACAACAGTGAAACTCAGCGTGATGCAAAAAATTATTGTTAAATACTCTTTAGGTTAATAGTGATGTCTTCAGCAGAGTAAGCACAGTGGCTTAGGATGCTTATGGATTTGAGAACCTTTCCAGAAATGAAGTTCTTTAGAAGTCCTGCAAACAAAAGATAAAAAATTCTTCAATAAATAAAAATAAGCTTTGTAAAGCTGCCAGGGAAGATACTGTTGAAGCATCCCAAATTAATTTCCTGTAAACAGGAAACTGTAAACAGTACTTTACTGTAAACAGTAAAGAAAAATGCCTACCATTTGTTGCTTTAACCATGATGAGCATTCCTGTGTTTTGTTTTGTTTTGTTTCCTTTGGCCTCTCTTGTAGCAGTTACCCATAAAATGTTACCGTTTCATGTTGCCTCTTTGAGGTGTTCTCCTAGTTAAGTTGTATTTCTTATTTCCACTGAGAATGCATAATTGGATCCGTGTTATTTCTTTCAAAAGCATGGAAACTTAAATGTAGTCAATAATTACGTGTATGTGTGTTTCTCTTCTAGTGGAGGCGATAGTGGAGTTTGACTACAAAGCTCAACATGATGATGAGCTGACAATAACTGTAGGTGACATAATCACCAATATCAAGAAAGATGATGGAGGCTGGTGGGAAGGACAGCTCAAAGGCAGAAGAGGTTTGTTCCCTGACAACTTTGTAAGAGTGAGTACAAAGTGGAACTGTTCTTGTGTTGTGTATTTATGTTTTGTGTACTGTGCTGTTTGGGCTAAATATCGGCCACTATATCATATTACTTATTATATCCAAACCCATAACATACTGCAATACTATGTTCTATTGTGGCTGTGTTACAAAGAAAATACGACTTACTTGCACAGACCATGGAATTTTGATATCCTCAAAGTAAAAGTAGCCACCCCTACATTTCTGTGCTGTTCAGTGATTCTGTTTGACTGTATGGTCTGCGAACAAAGTATGTTTCCTAGAAGAACTTGGATGTCATGGCATTTGCAATATTTTTTCTCCTCTGTAACTTCTACTACTTCTCCAGGGTGCATTCTTATGTTTTATAGAAGCTTTTTGTGAATACTTATTCCTGGCTAAACCAGTTGAGAATAGTTAAAGTGGATTTTTCCAAGCAGTTGCCTATAAAAACTTACAACCCCCCCCCAAAAACCCATTATTTGTATTTCATGTAATGTACCAAATACCTTGCAGTAATACTGGTTTTAGGAAAGCCATTCAAAGTTTTAGAAATTAGTATCTTTTAAAATGGGTGTCTGTGTGTGTGCGTGCGTGTGCCTGCATGTATGCAACTGGCTGTTGGTACCTCTGGGCCTCCTTGATTTGTCATTGCAGGCCTAGGCTGTTAGTGTCTATAAACCTCCATAAACTTGGCTTTCCACTATGGAAAAGAGAGAAAGAATTACAGTTACATAAATAGGTTTTACATTAATCTTTTACTGCAGCTTCAGAGAGTCTTTGGAACTTTCCCCTTTCCAAGGATGTAAATGTCTTTTATTTTCTTTATTTTCTTCTTCTGTGTGAGCCTGTTGTGTGGTTGGGCATACACACATAATGAAGTTGTTTAATTTTGCTTCAGTAATGCTGCATATGTTGAGGTAATTTGGGGAAGTGGTTCAGTGGCAAATGGAACAGGGGAGCCTCACGGGTTCCCGTGGGGACAAACATACATCCTAATCTTTGTCATTGCCAAGAAGGAAGAACAGTTCTATGTCTGTCAGGAGGCAACGATTACGAAGAAGTAACAGGCTCAATGGGGTGAAAGGGAGTGAAGGAGGAAAAGTAATACCTTGTTTCTTGTTAATCTCTGAAAATCCACACTTTGAGGTTGGAGGAAGAAACTATTTTGGGACTCATTATACATGGATAATATTTTTCTGCTTGAACTCTGAACTGTCAAGTTCTGTGGGACAAAAGCAGACTTCCTCTAGGGTTTTTCCTGGCTGGTATTTGAAATCTGCTTCTGATTTTAGGAGGCATTGGATTTACTGTCCTAAATTAATGTGACCTATGAATTTCTGTTATGAAAATACCATAATCTAAGTAGGAAAGTTTGGAAGTTCTTACCCTTAGTACATCATTTTCAAGGCCTCTTCTTTCCAAAATGACTTCAGACTGTGGCATCCTGTCACACAATTGAAAAATAAATAGCTTTTCCTCAATAGAAACCTCTAAAACAATAATAAATATTTTGGAATTTGTGTTCTCGTAAAACATCTCTACCTGGTCTTAGCTTCTCCTTCTCCCTTTTTTTGTAAAAAAATCAGCAACGAGGATTGTTTTCTAAAGAAGTAAAAACCACAATACATTCTGCCTCGTTCTCAGCTTGAACACGAAGTCAAATGTGTTTTTCATAGCTGGCTATTTCCTCTCTAAATTAGCTAACGTGGAGTGGAAGATAAAAACTTCCTAAAAGTACAGTTTGTGAGTATTTTGAGTGAAAATTATTCTTCTTTAATTTTTCTTGTGTAAATCTTTTATGTGGAGAGCTATGGTCAAACAGAACAGCAGTCTCATCAGAAAACTGGCTGAGGGCGATAATTCTGTGCACCAGGATTATAAATAATTATAAACTTTCTCTTTCAGTCATGGAAATTTTTTTAACAAGTTTGTGCAGACTTGAATTCACCAGCAATCAATTCATGCTGCATTGCTTTACTCTTGTGTCAGCAAGAGAGGGAGGCAGAAAGGGATGCTACAGATGAGTGGTAGATGGAATGCAACTCCAAATTCCTATTGCTTATCAGAATTGGTTGTAAGAGTAATTACTTGAGAAGGTTATCCAGAGGTAAAAATGACTAATGAAATTCTTGAGGTACTTTACATTCTACCTTCAAGTGGAGGAAATAATTTCTTAGGGAAAATAGCTTTTCTTTCCTGTGATTTAATTTTATTTTGAATAAATTCATTACAAAATTCCAGAGAAAATGTTGAGTTTTGCAAAAATTGGATGTTTGGGCTGAATTGAACCTCTGAATTGACACATTAAAGAAGCCTGAATCGTCTCAGTTAGCATGTGTGCAAAGATACTGGAAGTGCAGTTTGAAGAGAAAAGAGTTTGGAAGAAAAGATACACAAGTCAGAAATGAAAAAATCAGGAAAATGCAAAATCTTAGAATTATTATGAAAATACATTAATACAAAGTGTTTCTTAAGAAAATAAATTAAAAAAAAAACATTCAAGGGAGTACTAGGTTGTGGTGTGGAAAAGACATTTAGAATTGCCTGCAGCAAAAGTGGTTTTAAATTTCATGGAATAAGTGTAAACTGATGGACCACTGAAGAGGAGTTGTCTGAAGACAGATGTGAAAAAGAAAGAGGAAAGGGGAGGTAGCAATGATATGTGTGCAGTACATGTGCAGTTATTTTTTTCAGAGGTCTTTCACTGTGAAGTTGAATCAGAGGTGCTTCCTGTTCTTGAATCTGCAAAACAACTGCTCGGAATTTTTTGTGTTTTTATACCTACAGACATAAAACCCCACAGATTCATACCCTTCATATGCTCTGCAATTCAATATGCAAGGTGTAACAGATGAGGTATTTGAAATTTCTTTTCTCTTTCTGTTTTCACTGCCATAGTCTGTAGCTATGGTCGCTTAGATTTTGTGGGGCAAGTTTGTCTAAATGAGAAAATTATTTGGTCCCTCTTTAAGGTCTGATTTACCTCTGTCAGCTTTTGTAGATACCTACTTTAGTTAGTGATGCTGAATTTATTGTAAGAAATGTATGAAATGCATATCCTGTTCTTGTCTTTGTTTCCTTTCAGTATTTCAAGTAGAGAAATAGAAGCATGATAATTATGTACTGTTCTTGGTTGTTACTTCTCAGTTATGCAGTTGAAAGAGAGGAGTTAGCAGGTGTGATTCCAATGTAGGTTATTTGCATGGTATAAAATTGGTCTTTGATATCTTTCTAGCTTGAAACTTCAACTTGAAATCCAAAAGTCTTACTTTAATAACCAGAAAATAAAGTAAATGTGGATGATGTGAAGCATATTAGTGTTTTGTTTTTTGTTTTTTGTTTTTTAAATGGCATTAGGAGATTTGTGTTGTGTTTTTTTTTTTTTAACAAATTCCTTGTCTAACCATGCTCTGCAGTGTAAAACTTTGTTAGATTAGTGTGTGACAGTTAGATTTTGCTGATAGCAGTTGAAGATGTAGGAAGCAGGAAACTGTGGTGCAGAGCCATGCTTGCTGGTTTTAATTTACAAACCCAATTCTGTGTGGCATTGGGTAATGTTATACTGGTAAACTGAATGTGCTGCATTTGATAACCTTCAGGCTTGTTTGTACTCCAGAGCAGTTGCTGATACTGCAAGCAGAATTGGGAGGTAAATTTATTTTAAAATTAGCAAGAAATGTGGTGGTAGTTACTTTTGAGATTATAGTGTATAGCTTGGGCTTTAGAATCAATGAAACAGGGCAAGGGGTGTTTGTGACTATGCTGCTGCCTCAAGTCAGAACAGCAACCTGGATTTCTTGTTGCACAAGCAGAATACAATCTTTGAATAGTGCAAATTAGTTGTAGGATGTCAGGGATGTTCATGCTGAATCATAGGTACACCATGGAGATCATTATCTGTTGCTTATGATTTAATTTTCTTCTCTATATGTTTTGTTTATTTGGTTTTAATCTTCACAAGCAATCAGAGGCTGCAGGGAACTGTGAGTGAAGCTGAGACCCTTGTGCTTGCTATGCACCCTGCAAACCCCCCTACCCATTCCTAGTGCTTTCCTAAAACCTGTTATAACTCTGGCCCTGTACACATGCAGGGGGCTTTTCATCTACAGTTTGGCTTCTGGGAGTGCAAAAAGTATTCCCCATGTCCTGGAACACTTTGGTTCCTGCAGTGCTTTCTGCTTCCCCGGCCCTTTGGCTTCTACTTGGTCCCTGTAAAGTCAGAGAGCTGACCAGCTCCTCTTGTTCTTCCTTCCTGCTTTGCCACTGTGCACTTGTCATCGCTTCAGGGCTTTAAGGTTCCTACTGCCTTCACTGCTCTTCTAAGTACCCTGAGTACTATTAATTAAATGACATCTGGGTCAGCCTTGCCTAAGTAGTCACTTCTGAAAGTTGGGGCATCTGCCGAGGCACTGAGGTTCTATGCAGACTAGGGAAAGGGGTGTTATTTCTGTTTGTACCTGAAAATATAACTTACTTTATCAAGTGAATTATTATAGAGGTTTTACACATAGTTGGCCAGAGTTTGCAATTCAATTACTGAGCTTTTTTTTTGTTGGAAAGACTTTCTACATGTTTATTATTAAGAAATATTGTGGCATCCTGTTGTGTCATCTTGGGAATGAGAGCCAAGATCACTAGTTTCTTATTCCAAGTTCTGTGTATGACTATTAAGGTAGTTATCCTTCTGGTGAAATACAAGATAATGTAATTAGTAAAAGAAACTTTCAGATAGGTTCCATTATGTGAAAATGCTGTCTTTTTGAGATTTTGTTGCTGTCAACAAGCAATTAAAATGTTGTGGGAAGAAACATAGCATCACTGATGAGTTATTACTTATTATTGCTGCTGTTATTACTTGTACAATGGTGAGACCAAAACTAATAAAATGAAGACTTTCTTCCTCTCCCAGCCCATCTTTCCCCCAAAGGCACGGATCCACCAAGATGCTCTTGCACCAATCAATAGCCTCTGACTTGCCAGTGTTTACGTTTCGAAGG